AAAAAAAAAAAAAAAAAAAAGAAAACGCACCAAATGTGTCATGCTTTCATTCGTGAACAGTTGTTAAAATGGTCTAAAACTTTAGAGTATTTCGCAGTGATAACTTCTTGGTGGTACAGATTATATACGTGTTTTTTCCTTCTAGATCTATAACAGCATTGTATAGACGCTTGTATTTTATATAAAGCAGAAAATTCGGTAAAATCCGCAAAAGTTGGCTTAATTTTTTCCTATTACAGACCTTTAAAATTTAGTTTTGATTATTTTACACATATTGGACATCAACTGTTCATGGTTTCAAAACTGGAAAACGCATCGTTATAGAACTATTATGCAGATCCATATCTACTATTTCTGTCTACAAATAATAGAACTTTAAATAACAGATTTTTAAATGCAGTGATCTTGCAAATTAATTTGCAGTCACTAGTATTTCTACTTTTTTAAAGATGCGTTTATGTTCCCTTACTAGAGGACCGCTTGTTAACGATTTTTGGTGTCATATTATTAATGGTATAAAAATTTTTAATTATTGACTTCTTCTGTTTCGTTTTTGTCATAAAGCAGTTTGCAACAGGTAGGGAGCAGTAATAAGGAGTAAATCAAGCTGCTCCAACACGCTTATTTACAGTATGATATAAGCGTTGTCGAAAGACTTATATCAACAGGCAAAAAACTTTTCCAATTTTCATAAAGCGATTAAGAGAAGGTTAAAGGACATTCTTCAAAACGGTGAATAGCTCAGACATCACTGTCGTATGCAGTAAGACAAAAGTGATTGTGAACTCTTCCAGCAACTTTTTCAAAAGGTATTACCTGTACAGTGGCAAATTTTTGATACACCAAAAAATCCGACCACAAAGTACGATTTGTTAACTGAGTCGAGGGTAGCTGAAAGATATCTTTTATCGCTTTTTAGAAGGAAGAAAACTATAGACGACTGCAATTTAAGTTTGCAGGAATTTTCGGTCAGAACTTCAAGGCATATTATACACTTTCTGTATGTGTACTATTATCAAATAATTTCTTAGTACCATTACAGTACAAAGTTCACAAAATTTGCGATACTTGATGCGGAAAAAAATTTCATGAACATTTATTCCTGTGTTGCGAAACCTGACTCTTTTTTTGTAGTACCCTTATATGCAGCTACTGTTTGCATATTGAAGAGTGGCAGTCGGAAGAAGTCTAGCAAGAATTTTGTGCTGCTCTGCCAGCAAAGAATGATTACTTGACTTCCATTTCTAAGGTTTTTGAAGGCTTTTTGAGAAACCAAAGTAAGTGAGAATACTAATTATTTTTTTTAATTTGAAACTAATAGAATTTTTTATTAAATAAACACTTCCGCTTTTTTTAAGGGTAGCTTATTACGTGCTCAGGTACAGCAGAATTTCTGCCTGTAAACTGACCGATGAGAAACTAATGGGCTTAGTTTGAGCCTAATTCTAGAACAGAACCCAGTAGCTTCGTCTATAACAACCATGGCCACGAAATTGCTCTATCACACCACATTAATAAAAATTGTTCGTTATCAACGCCTGTAAGGAAGTTAATCTGTATCCTATAAGACGTATTTAAACTTCATTTCTGCTTGTAGGAATCTGTTCCGCAAGATGTGTTCAATAATTAGGAAGTGATTACTTTATCTTCATTAAAATTTTTATAAGTTTTGCATGACCTTATATAGTCCATGACGATGAAAAAATAGTATTTTTTGCAGTTATGACGTTGCAATGAGATATCGAGCGGCCAAACAGCGGACGGAGAATTGGACGTATCGTTGCCGGTCCATCTGATGATGAATTCTACAAAACGACAGACGTGCATGAAATTCTGCATTGAAAGAACTCCTGGCTGTAGAAAAGTGTATCCAACACCAATAAACTTTTGTTACATCTCACTTTTTGCCTTTCTTCTTTTTCTTTTTTTTTTTCATTCAGAAAATTGAATGAATTCCTGGTGACTGCTATTTTGCGGTTGCAGCGAACAAACAATTTTAAAAAACGTACATTTCATGCAACAGTTAGTAATCAAGTAAAAAAGCTTTTTTCAGCTTTTCATTTGTTTATTCTGACACTGAACAGCACTTTTCCGCCGTATCAGACTCACCGACACTGTAAAAATTTGTTTAATCAACTGTGCAAGTGTCCTACTTAATGTTTATCACTTTATTGACTTTTCTCGCAAAACTTTGTCTACAGCTTCCTTTTCTAAGAGCTAAAGTTTGCAACAACTTATCAAGGGCAGTTATTGGTAAAATCAGAGTGATCAAAATCTATAAACAAATTTTAAAAAGAATGAAATAATTTTTGTGTTTGGAAAGTAGGGGGAGAAAAATAAAGCTTAAAAAAGATTTAGGATAAGACTTAAAAAGAGCTTAAGAA